TTATTTTTATGAGGGAAAATGTTGTCGAATTAAAAAAAAATGCTATAATTGCTTGCTTTTAGGAGTAAGTGAATTATAATAAAATACCATAAATGCACTGTGAATATGACTGGATTTATGTTATTCATCCAAGAAGATGAAATATTTGGTTATTTTTTACAAATATTAGATTCTCGTATATAACAAGCATTATCAATAACAAGCAAATATGTCCAAGATTTTCAAAATATTATGGTAATAAAATATATACATAGCAACATGTTTGACCCTGGTTCAGACAACCCAAAACGTATAATGCATCTAAGAAAGTTGGACGAAACTCACATCCTAGTTTGATTCCTCAATTATGTACTAGAGCTAATAGAATTTTCAACTAAATATTCATGATTTTTAAAATATATTTACATATCTAATCATTTATGATTTCGGCAATTATGTTTAAAATTGAATAGCCAAATGTGTATGTCGATTTTCAGCTAGCTCTTGGTGAGGAGACATGAAACATTTTCGGTTAATTGTTGGAACATATAGAATTATAAACGAAAGTGAAAAATATAATTTTTTTCTTTTTAAGTCACGCCGCAAAAAAAATTATATGCATGAAACACATATAAGATTTATATACTAACTGTATATACATTATTTTCTAATATAAGATATATATGCAAACACCACTAGAGAGTTAATAATTAGTATTCATTTTTAATGCGGGAAGAAATCCAATATAATACACATTGGTTGATATATATGTTACGTTTAAAATGAAAATGGTAGGAAAACTTTTATGTAGTTCTTTTTCACAGATGTTCATGGTCATCTTGAATCTTAATTTTACTTCTGGTCCTAATTATCTGTGATTTTTCATTGTCATCTGATTCAATGAAAACGCACTGATAATTACTGCAATTTATTAACTGAGGACTATGAAACATTGGATTGATGAAATGGAGTTCGATTTTAACCTCAAAAAGTTGTCTGATTGCTCGTTTAATACGGGAGAATTCGAAGAGTGTTGGAGAGATTTTGAGAGGATGTTGAATTTTTCTGAAAAAAGATACAAATAAACTAAAAGTGCACTGCAGTGTGGTAAATGTTGCACTATGAATAGCATTTCAATATAATTAATGAGCATAGGAATACAGACTATGGGTTCTCTAGGTCTAAGAGCGTCATACCACTCGAACCATAAGCGAATCTATTTGGTCATTTTCATAAAAAATACTTAATACTTAATTTTGTATATTTTTTTAAGTGCGCACTTGAACAACCCTAGTATTCTATTCATTGATGTACATACAATATATACATAATAGATTTAATAAATAATAATATACAATTCAATATCTGATCATCGTGGTTAAACAATAGAATGTTGATTATTTCGCAAAATAGTAGGTTTCATCAACATAAATTATAAATTTAAAATGATCCAAAGTCATTATGCAGCATCCACAGGAAACCAGAACATTATTATTTGATTAAAAATGAAAACCTCGCTGAACAAGCCTGAGCAGTTCAATCGCCACTGTTGCTAGGGGAGCCTTCTCCATCACCACCACCCTAATTATTGAATAAGCACTTTCTAATAACTTCGTCGAACCCAATATACTCATCGGCGTCCACTTCTTCGTCTTCAACTATCACCTCCCCATCACCCATTACCACTAGCATCACCAGAGGCCGTGCTGGAACTGGTGGAGCTACTAGAACAGCCGGCGGTTGCTGGGTGCCGTTGCGCATGGTCATCGGCAATTGAACCTGCATCGAGGCGCCGCGCTCGGGATCCTTAGCCCGGTATTTGTTTAGAAAAACTGTCAGGGGCTCCACGTAGTCATCGAACCCCAGTGAAGCCATGGCGGCAATTACATCTTCTGGGTGGATAGTTTTGTTGTACTCGTGGTGGGCCTTCTCATTGGCCTCACTGGCTACAAAGGAGATGAACTCTGAGACACACTCTGTGACACCCTTAATTTTTATTATGTGGTATAATAATAGTTTATATATGTATATTATTGAAGTTTATTAATTAATGAGAGTAATTTGACAAACGCTTCATAGAAGGTGTGCGTCACACACTCTTGAATAATCTCCTTCGCATAATCGGAAATTGTTGCATGGGGCGGGAGCATCCTACGTAAGACTCGGACGATGTTGGTCATCGACATATACAGATCCACCTCATGCCTGAAGTCTTGCGGTGGCGCCGGATTCTGATTGCCGACATTATTTGTGGGGAGGATGGGGCTACTGCCTCTAGGTTGATTGTGCCTGAAATGAATGAATTGTATATTTTTACTAAAAGCCTATGAAGTAAATGCACAACCCAATGCTTAAAATTGAACAAAGGTTTGGTTACATTTTCGTAACATTTTTTGTTTTCTTCATCCATTTATCAAATAGCCATGTAATGGTATGCGAACCATGTCAAAAGAAATTATAACCCCTAATTTTTTGCACTTAATTCGTTTCAACAACAAAAGAATATTGACAACTATGTATATTTACTCTCCTTTTTTGCACTTACTTATACAATTAATTTCTCTCACTTTTATTCTTCTATTACACTTTATGTGTATATCCTCTCACATTTTTATTCTATCAATACACCTCATGAATATGTATATATGTGACATGTATAAATAAAATCCATAAGATGCAAAATAGTATCCAATTTTACTTCAAGAATTTCTTTAAGATTGACTTTTCCCGTTTTTTTCCATCCCAACCCTTTTGTCTGCATCATGAACGTCATTTTGATTTAATATTTATGGAAAAAAAAACACGGAGACACTATTTTATTTTGTGGCGTATCTACTTAAGATATATCATGCAAAAAGGTAAAATAAAAGGAAAAATAACAATTCAAGTATATAAACGCATAATCAAATAAAGTAAACTAACGCGTGTCGTCCAACGTCAAACCATGAGTTAATCAAGAATGTTACTTGACATATAAAAAAGTAATCAAAATAGAATCATATACGAAAGGTGACAAAAAAATAATTTATATTTAATTCAAACAACAGTCTCTATATGAGGTATCTCAAAGATCTGTAAACTTAAATAGTACTTATATAAGATCATAATAAAAAGACAGATCCATAAAATTAAATTAAGAGCATGAATGTTAGATTGCTAGTACAACAGAAAATCAAATTAACACCATTCATAGTGATTTTATCTAATTCAAAAATAAATATGAAAGCAAATTTATTTTTGTGCAAATTTTACCAGATGCAGATGCAGATGCCCTTGTGGCATCCTTATGTTGGTTATTTGAATTTCCTCTAATCTCCATCTTTATGATTTATTTCTAATTTTATTTGTGAATGTTTTTCTTAACACTCAAATGTCACACTCTAGTTCACTATATGCCTCTTTGATTTTTGCTATGAAATATGAAGTGAAAAGGCAAATGCGCATTCAATATATATAGAAAAAATTAGGGTTTAGAAATGCGTACACTAGGGAAAATTAGGGCAGTGAAAATGTTTCATTAGTGGTGAAGGTAGGAGTAAATATGGAAAAAATAAATATTGCTTGGACTGTCCAACTAGTATATTGCCTTTTCTTTTGATGAGTGAAAATGTTGCCGAGTTAAAAAAATTGCTATAATTGCATGCTTTTAGGAGTAAGTGAATTATAATAAAATACCACAAATGCTTTTGTGAATATGACTAGATTTATGTTATTCATTCAAGAAGACGAAATATTTGGTTATTCTTTACAAATATTGGATTCTCTCGTATATAACAAGCAATATCAATAACAAGAAAATATGTCCGATGTTTTCAAAATATTATGGTAATAAAATATATACATAGCAACATCACTAAACCTAGTTCAGACAACCCAAAACTTATAATTCAACTAAGAAAGTAGGACAAAACTTACATCCTAGCTTGATTCCTCAATGATGTAGTAGAGCTAATGGAATTTTCAACAAAATATTCATCATTTTTTAAATATATTTATATATCTAATCATTTATGATTTCGGCAGTTATATTTAAAATTGAATAGCCAAATGTGCATGTCGATTTTCAGCTAGCTCTAGGTAAGGAGACATGACACATTTTCGGCTAATTGTTGGAGTATACAGAATTATAAACGAAGGTGAATTTTTTTTTTTACAATTAAAGTCACGCCGCAAAAAAAATCCATGCATGAAGTACCTATAAGATTTATATACAAACTATATATACCTTATTTTCTAATAGAAAATAAATATCCAAACACTACTAGAGTGTTAATAATTAGTATTCACTTTTTATGCGCTAATAATAAATAGGAAGAAATCCAATATAATACACATTGGTTCATATATACGTGTAAAATGAAAATGGTAGGAACACATTTATGCAGCTCTTTTTAACAGATGTTGATGTTCATCTTGAACTTTAATTTTCCTTCTGGTCCTAATTATCTGTGATTTTTCAGTGTCCTCTGAATTGATGAAAATGCACTGATAATTGCTGCAATTTGTTAATAGACACCTTTGAAACATTGGATTGATGAAATGGAGTTCGAGTTGTACCTCAAATGGCTGTCGAATTGCTCGTTTAATTCGGGGGAATTCGAAGAGTGTTGGAGAGAGTTTGAGAGGATTTTGATTTTTTTTGAAAAAAGATACAAATGAACTAAAAGTGCACTGCATGTGGGAAATGTTGCGCTATGAATAGCATTTCAATATTATTAATGCGTATAGGAATACTGACTATGGGTTCTCTTGGGTCTAAGAACGCCATACCTCTCGAACCATAAGCTAATCTATTTGGTGATTTGCATAAAAATACTTCATAATTAATTTTGTATATTTTTTTAGGTGCAAAGCAACCCTTGTATTCTAGTCATTGGTGCACATACAATATATACATAATAGATTTAATAAATAATAATATAAAAGTCAATATCTGATCATCGTAGTTAAATAATAGAATGTTGATTGTTTCGCAAAATAGTAGGGTTTTATGAAAATAAATTGTAAATTTAAAATGATCCAAAGTCATTACGCAACATCCACATAAAACCAGAACATTATTATTTGATTAAAAACGAAACCCTCGCTGAACAAGCCTGAACTGTTCAATCGCCACCGTTACTAGCGGAGCCTTCTCCATCACCACCACCCTAATCCTTCAAAAAGTACTTTCTAATTACTTCATCGAACCCAATATACTCATCGGGCTTCACTTCTTCGTCATCAACTATCACCGCCCCATTGCCCATTACCACAAGCGGCGCCGGAGGTGGTGCTGGAACTGGTGGAGCTACTGGAGCCGCCGCCGGTTGCTGGATGCCGCTGCGCATGGCCATCGGCAATTGAACCTGCATCGAGGTGCCGCGCTCAGGATCCTCAGCCCGATATTTATTCAGAAAAATTCTCAGGGGCTCCACGTAGTCATCAAATCCCAGTGAAGCCATGGCGGCGATTACATCTTCTGGGTGGATAGTTTTTTTGTACTCGCGGTGGGCCTTCTCATTGGCCTCACTCGTTACAAAGGAGATGAACTCTGAGACACATTCTTGAATAATCTCCTTCGCATCATCGGAAATTTTTGCATGGGGCGGGAGCGTCCTATGTAAGACTCGGACGATGTTGGTCATCGGCATATACAAATCCGCCTCACGCCTGAAGTCTTCTGGTGGCGCCGGATTATGTTCGCCGACATTTGTTGTAGAGAGGTTGGGGGATACTGCCTCCGGATTAATTGTGCCTGAAATTAATGAATTTTATATTTTTATTAAAAGCATGTGAAGTAAATGCGCAACCCAATGCTTAAAATTGAACAAATGCTTGGTTACATTTTCGGAATAATTTTTGTTTTCTTCATCCATTTATCAAATAGCAATGTGATGGTATGCTAACTATGTTAAAAGCAAATATAACCCCTAATTTATTGCATTTAATTCATTTTAACAACAAAAGAATATTGACAACCATGCATATTTACTCTCCTTTTCTGCAATTGCATATACAATTAATTTCTCTCACTTTTATTCTTCTATTACACTTCATGTGTATATCATCTCACATTTTATTCTATCAATACACCTCATGGATATGTATATATGTAACATTTATAAATAAAATCCATAAGATGCAACATAGTATCCAATTTTACTTCAAGATTTTTTTTTAAGATCGACTTTTTCCCGTTTATTCCATCCCAACACTTTTGTCTGCATCATGAACACCATTTTGATTTACGATTTATGGAGAAAAAAAACACGGAGACACTATTTTATATTGGGACGTATCTACTTAGGATATATTGTGCAAAAAGGTAAAAATAAAAGGAAAAATAATAATTCAAGTATCTTAATGCATTCAATATATATAGAAAAATTTAGGGTTTGGAAATTCGTACACAAGGGCAAATTAGGGCGGTGAAAATTTGTCATTAGTGATGAAGGTAGGAGTAAATATGGGAAAAATAAATATTGCTTGCAGTGTGGAACAAGTATATTGCTTTTTCTTATGATGAGAGAAAATATTGTCGAATTAAAAAATTGCTATAATTGCTTGCTTTTAGGAGTAGGTGAATTATAATAAAGTACCCTAAATGCATTTGTGAATATGACTGGATTTATGTTATTCATTCAAGAAGATGAAATATTTGGTTAATTTTTACCAATACTGGATTCTCGTATATAACAAGCATTATCAATAACAAGAAAATATGTCCAAGATTTTCAAAATATTATGGTAATAAAATATATACATAGCAACATCATTGACCCTGGTTCAGACAACCCAAAACGTATAATTCAACTAAGAAAGTAGGACGAAACTCACATCCTAACTTGATTCCTCAATTATGTAGTAGAGCTAATGGAATTTTCAACTAAATATTCATCATTTTTAAAATATATTTATATATCTAATCATTTATGATTTCGGCAGTTATGTTTAAAATTGATTAGCCAACTGTGTATGTCGATTTTCAACTAGCTCTTGGTTAGGAGACATGACTTATTTTCGGCTAATTTTTGGAATATATAGAATTATAAACGAATGTGACAGATATTTTTTTTTTCAATCTAAGTCCCGCCGCAAAAAAAATCCATGCATGAAGTACCTATAAGATTTATAAACTAACTATATATACCTTATTTTCTAATATAAAATAAATATCCAAACACTACTTGAGAGTTAATAATTAGTATTCCTTTTTTATGCGCTAATAATAAATTGGAAGAAATCCAATATCATACATATTGGTTCATATGTACGTGTAAAATGAAAATGGTAGGAAAACTTTTATGCAGTTCTTTTTAACAGATGTTCATGGTCATCTTGAATCTTAATTTTCCTTCTGGTCCTAATTATCTGTGATTTTTTAGTGTCCTCTGAATCGATGAAAATGCACTGATAATTGCTGCAATTTGTTAATAGACACCTTTGAAACATTGGATTGATGAAATGGAGTTCGAGTTGTACCTCAAATGGCTGTCGAATTGCTCGTTTAATTCGGGGGAATTCGAAGAGTGTTGGAGAGAGTTTGAGAGGATTTTGATTTTTTTTGAAAAAAGATACAAATGAACTAAAAGTGCACTGCATGTGGGAAATGTTGCGCTATGAATAGCATTTCAATATTATTAATGCGTATAGGAATACTGACTATGGGTTCTCTTGGGTCTAAGAACGCCATACCTCTCGAACCATAAGCGAATCTATTTACTTCATAATTAATTTTGTATATTTTTTTTAGGTGCAAAGCAACCCTAGTATTCTATTCATTGATGCACATACAATATACACATAATAGTTTTAATAAATAATAATATAAAAGTCAATATCTGATCATCGTGGTTAAATAATAGAATGTTGATTATTTCGCGAAATAGCAGGTTTCATCAACATAAATTGTAAATTTAAAATGATCCAAAGTCATTACGCAACATCCACAGGAAACCAGAACATTATTATTTGATTAAAAACGAAAACCTCGCTGAACAAGCCTGAACTGTTCAATCGCCACCGTTGCTAGCGGAGCCTTCTCCATCACCACCACCCTAATCCTTCAACAAGTACTTTCTAATAACTTCGTCGAACCCAATATACTCATCGGGCTTCACTTCTTCGTCATCAACTATCATCGCCCCATCACGCATTACCACTAGCGGCGCCGGAGGTGGTGCTGGAACTGGTGGAGCTACTGGAGCAGCCGGCGGTTGCTAGGTGCCGCTGCGCATGGCCATCGGCAATTGAACCTGCATCGAGGCACCGCGCTTAAACTATCAGGGGCTCCACGTAGTCATCGAATCCTAGTGAAGCCATGGCGGCGATTAAATCTTCTGGGTGGATGGTTTTTTTGTACTCGCGGTGGCCTTCTCATTGGCCTCACTTGTTACAAAGCAAATGAACTCTGAGACACACTCTGGAATAATCTCGTTCGTATCATCGGAAATTTTTGCATGGGGCGGGAGCGTCCTACGTAAGACTCGAACGATGTTGGTCATCGGCATATACAGATCCGCCTCGAGCCTGAAGTCTTCCGGTGGTGCCGGATTCTGATCGCCGACATTTGTTGTGGGGAGGTTGGGGGCTACTGCCTCCGGATTGATTGTGCCTGAAATGAATGAATAGTACATTTTAATTTAAAAGCATGTGAAGTAAATGCAACCCAATGTTTAAATTTAACAAATGTTTGGTTACATTTTCGGACCAATTTTTGTTTTCTTCATCCATTTTTAAAATAGCCAAGTAATGGTATGCCAACTATGTCAAAAGCAAATATAACCTCAAATTTATTGCACTTTATTCGTTTCAATGACAAAAGACTAGTGACAACCATGCATAATTACTCTCCTTTTTTCACTTATTTATACAATTAATTTCTTTCACTTTTATTCTTCTTACACTTCATGTATATATCATCTCACATTTTATTTTATCAGTACACCTCATGGATATGTATATATATGACATGTATAAATAAAATCAATACGATGGAACATAGTATCTATTGGGTTATTTGAATAAAAATACTTTATTTTATTATAAAGTATAATATTGACTTTGACCACTTTGAGACCAATATTTTGAAACCTTCAAAGTCATTATTCTCCTACATAAAACACCATAAATTTCTTTAATTCTATATTTAATAGAGGTTTTATGGGGGTCATATTATATAGGGATAATTACACTTTTGGTCCCTCATGTTTGACCCGATTTCACTTTTGGTCCCCCTTGTTCCAAAGTAAACAAAGTTCACCTCCAAGTTTCAATTTTAAACATTTTTGGTCCATGCCGTTACATGTCCGTTAGCAAGTAACAGAAAACACTATTTTGGGGTGAAAATTGAAATTTTAAATTTTTTTGGGGCTGAAAAATAATTTTAAATTGAAAATAGACTACTTATATTTAAATTTTTAATAATATTAAGTATAATGAAATTTATTTAATTACTTTTTTTTATTATTAAAAAAATAGTCATAAGTAGTATAATTAAAACTATATTAATTATAATTGACAATCATTTATTTAATTAATTTCTTTTTTGTTATTAAAAAAAAAAAGAATCGATAGGGTCGCTTCAGATTTTTTATTACCAACGAGGCCCCAAACAAGTAGTAAAATTCTAATAGTATTAAGTATACTAAAAAATAATTTGTGCACTTAATTAATTTTTTTGTTATTAATTTTTTTATCATAAGTAGTATAATTAAAAATAATTTGTTTAATTAATTTTTCTATTATTACAAATTTAATTATAAGTAGGATAATTATAATAATATTAAGTATAATAAAAAATAATCTGTTTGGTCAATTTCTTTTTTTTATTATTATTAAAATTTATAAGTAGTCTATTTTTAATTTGTAATTATTTTTCAGCCCCAAAAAAAATTAAAATTTCAATTTTCACCCCAAAATAGTGTTTTCCGTTACTTGCTAACGGAAATTTAACGGCAGGGACCAAAAGTGTTTAAAATTGAAACTTGGAGGTGAACTTTGTTCACTTTGGAACAAGAGGGACCAAAAGTGAAATCGGGCCAAACATGAGGGACCAAAAGTGTAATTATCCCTATTATATACTATATAAAGGGGGCATTGAGGCTTTGTAAGAGTATGTGACAAGAGAGTACAAGTGGTGATAAAAAAGAAATACTTTTCTTTTATACTATATACGTATACTTTGAGCTTTTGTTGTGTGTCGGGTGTAAGCTTTTGCTTTACTTGAACGTGCAGTTTCGGTGAAGTTACAGTGGAGAGACGGGTTGGGCTGGTTTATCACATTGGCGACACGATCGGAACCTTTCTTCACCTCATTTGAGAAGGGTTCGTGAAATTCGTCTTAAGAGAGCGACCTAGTCCGCGCCTCACCTTGCCTATCTTCATATTATTGTGAATCATATTGCAGCTAATTACCAACTATGAAAAGAGAGAGCAAATGGAGTTCCAGCCTCACATCCGTTATTTCGGGATCGATCGTCAAAGTGCAGCCGTGGTTCCAACAATTTAAGACGAATTTTCAATCCCGTAAAGATGAGCTTTGATGATGATCCAAAAGAGACGGACACTACAACCCTTGATGATGAAAAGTGAGATGATAAATTATATTTTATTAATATTTTGAGTTGACCAAAAAAATAACTATCTTATTTTGTTTTAGGTGAATTTTCGCACAATTCACCGTGTCAGCTTTTGAGTCCAATTTCGGATCTAATGTTGATCGAATCTGAGAATGTGTAAAATACGAAAGTTGTAGGAATTTTTGTTGGTTGTTCAGATCATCTTGAATCCCCAAAATCGGATCTCAAACGAGAGAGGTAACCTTAAAATATTGAGCATTGTCGGAGCTGCCAATTGTGCGCGCTTTTTGACCAATCCACAAAATATTGAGGTGCCGAAAGATGAGAATTGTGAATTATCGAATTTCTGGTAAGCATTTTGTTTGCGTATTATTTGTGAAACTTGTTTCAATACCATAATAATATTGCATGATAAAATGTGTGATTAATATGATTGAGAATCATAAATAATTTGAGATTAGATGAGTATAGACATGTGCATTCGTGATTCTATGTTGGGCATGTTATTATTAATTTATTATTATTATTATGTTATATTCTTGGAATTGGATGAGTATATAATTGCAACACTGTATGTATTCATACATCGGAAGATTTAGAGGACCTATTATCAAAATTGAATGCAATCTGCATATGTGCATGACAACATGAGTTTAAAATTTGGTTCATTCACTTATACGTTTGCTTTTTGAGTATGTTGTTCTTAAGTGAAACGTTTGGCTTCTATTAGACGTGTGAAGGATTATTATTTATTTGAACATTGAGAATTGATTACCTATTCAA